AAACATTCTATAACCCATTAGCATTTTAAACTGTTTAATTTTTAAATTAAACATTCTATAACCCATTAGCATTTTAAACTGTTTAATTTTTAAAGTAAACATTCTATAACCCATTAGCATTTTAAACTGTTTAATTTTTAAATTAAACATTCTATAACCCATTAGCATTTTAAACTGTTTAATTTTTATCTGAAATTTGTTCCTTTTAAAGTTTGTTAGCTAATTCTGAAAACTTTACTTAAGAACTTATATTTCACTGGATGTTATTTTCTCTTCCTTGCATTGAATTATGATTAGGGTTTATTTATAGATTTTTCTGCTTATACAGATAGTTTTTACAGATATTTGGTCAAGGTCAGTATTAATATTCCTTTTTAAATGTTTTTAAGTGTTTGGTCATTTCAGCAGTATGTGAATTCTAAAAGATTTTAATACTAGTAATTGAAACTGATTGTGCATTAGAAAATTTTCTAAACTTTCTATTTTAAAATCTTAATAGTTTTAAGTATATTAATTCATATTTGAAATTATTCAGCATATTTTTACTGCAAGTTAAAAGTTATCTATATGGTTTAACACTATCTTATCCAGGGTGAGAGAAGGCTGAATGATGGTGTGTTAGGTTGCAAGATACAAATAATGTACACAACATAATGTTTTTATCAGTCATGTGAGATTGTACGACCATGAGTATATATCAATAAATAGTGAAGGTGTTTATTTTGTGTACACAACATAATGTTTTTGTCAGTCATGTGAGATTGTATGACCATGAGTATATATCAAATTGTTACGACAGTGGAAGTCACATAATGCTGCTGGCGCATTGGCGCTGGTAGCGTGCATGAAATTTCTCGAATGATTGAGGAGGCCTGAGTGCATTCGAGACGCCCCCTTTGTTAGTGTATAAGCCTGGCAGAGAAGCCAGCGAGAGATAGATAATTGAAGAAGCCAACAGTAGTAACGGTAAGTAAAGTGTGTGAATCACTGTGATTTATAGCGTGTATTATAAAGGTTGTTAAGTTTAAAGTGACGAGAAAATGTACTGACTGTGGAAATTCTGTGTACTAAAAGTTTGTATTGAGGAAGAATAAACTGGTTTAATTAAGAAAGGATTTGTATCGCTGAAGTTCCTCAGAAATAATTTCTACCGGAAATTAACAAACAAGCAGATACGTAACAAATTGGTGTCAGAGAGTGGGACACACAAAAAAAGAAAAGATGGAAATGAAAAGTGGCAAATCAAACTACAGTTTAGCAGATTTGACGGCAGCAATACAAGAACAGCAAAAAAAACAAGAAGAGAGAGATTACAGCAGTTGTTGGGGGAAAAAGAAAAGAACGAGAAAAGAAACAAGAAGAGAGGCTACAGCAGTGGTTGGAGGAGAAAGAAAATGAACAAGAAGAGAGACTACAGCAGTGGCAGGAGGAAAAAGAAAATAAACAAGAAGAGAGACTACAGCTGTGGCTGGAGGAGAAAGAAAATAAACAAGAACTCTCTACTACAGCAGTGGTTGGAGGAGGAAGAAAATGAACAAGAAGAGTGACTACAGCAGTGGTTGGAGGAGGAAGAAAATGAACAAGAAGAGAGACTACAGCAGTGGTTGGAGGAGAAAGAAAATAAACAAGAAGATCGAGAAAAGAAACAAGAAGAGAGACAACAGCAGTGGCAAGGAAAACTGCAACAGTGTCAGCTCAACCAGCAAAATAAACAAGAAAAGAGATTACAGCAGTTGTTGGAGGAAAAAGAAAAGAAACAAGAAGAGAGATTACAGCAGTTGTTGGAGAAAAAAGAAAAGAAACAAGAAGAGAGATTACAGCAGTTGTTGGAGGAAAGAGAAAATAAACAAGAAGAGAGATTACAGCAGTGACAAGAAAATCAGCACCAGTGGCAACTTGAACAAGAAAGGAAACAGGAAGAAAGTCTCCAACAACTACAGGAAAGTCAGCAACAGTGACAAGAAGAACAAGGAGAGAGAGAGAGAACAACATAAGCATAAAGTA